CCCCCCCCAAAATAGACGGCCACCCTATATTAGAAGGCCACCCTCTGTATAAGGCCATGTTCGGACAAAAGTTCAAACGCCCTATTAGAAGGCCATGGCCCTCTAATAGGTCTGCAATTTCTGAGATTCGGATATGATCGCCACATATCACATCACAAACGAAGAAGAAGATAACGTGGATCATCTTCACGACGTCCTAGTGTGCGTTGTAATATAGTGGTGGCCACTTGTCTACATGAATAAATGAGAAAGATAGACAAAATAGTAATAAGTCGAAAGAGTAAACGTCGTCTTGTTACATATTGTTCTTGACCATACATTCGTCGATATAGTCATCATTCCCTTTCTTTCTTCCATCTTGTTTGTATATATGTTCTTTTTCTTTTTTCGTCAGCTGTTATCCATATGTTATCTATAGTCATCCTTTTCTTGACCTACTCTTTTTTGACCTATATTGTCATTGTAAGAGGAAAGATGAATAGCTTACTCTCTTTGTTGTTCATTGTTGCTCAATTATCTTATCATTTGTTCACTCGTTGTATAAATATTCATGTTCTTCCTAATAAAGAGAGTCATTTTTTACAACTTATCAAATTACACTTTATCTAACTCGTCTTGTTTGGTATTTATTTTCTGTGATACTTCTAAGTTTTTTTTATCATGAACACTGAGTGTCATTTGTATACATTACCACAAACTGAATCGGATGATAATAATGACACAAGTTCGGATGAATCTGATCTCGAAGTGATATCGATCGTTGATGAAACAGACAATATTGCCATTTCGATCAAGAATCATTTTAATCTCGATGATGATGAGGAAGATAACAACAACGAAGGGGCAACTGATATTCCACAGTCGAATTCAGTCTTGAACTCAAATGATACTGAACTCGATGAAGATCTAAATGATCTGAATGCAGATATTGTATCAACTGATCAATCGTCCTTGCTTGCTTCGTTATCAGCTGTATCTAACTCGGTGGAAGAGCATCCATCATGCAAGCGTAAACGTCGACAATGGTCAACTGCAGAGAAGCTACATGCCGTTGATATGCTGGAAAAAGCTGGTGGTAATAAGTTGCTCACGTCAAAAAAGGAAGGTTGCTCCAGATATCAATTATCTCAATGGATGAAACAAAAAGAAGATCTTATTCAACTATCAAAGCAAAATCATGGTGAGTTTTGTTCTTCTACCAATTATGAAATCGATCTCTCTTACATCTCTGATTCTTTCTTGCTTTGACTGATTATAGGACGCAAACGAAAACGTCTTCCTGGTGCTGGACACAAGCTACAGTATCCTGAACTCGACAAATTGCTTCTTGAGTGGTTCCGGGAACGTCGTACTGCTCCTGCCATTCAGTCAAATGTATCTACCATGACAACATCGATCGTCGTTAAACGAGAAAAAGTAACATTCAAACAGTTACAACGACGTGGCAAACAACTTTGTATCGAACTCAAGCATGAGCATCCACCATCGACTAAGTGGTATGGTCGATTCATGCGCCGCCATCGTCTCTCCCTGCAAAAACCAAAAAAACAACAGAAGGTGCCACTCAATGAGGCTCATCTACTTATCAATTCATTTCATACATATATCAGGCGTGCTAATACATGGGGTCCAAAACGTGGTGTTATGGGCGCCTTCTTACCTCGTGACGTGGTAAACATGGACGAAAGTCCTCTTAGTTTATTCGGTGACCAAACAAAATTATCAATCAATGATGTGAATACAGTAAATGAAATTGAAGGTCACATATCAGACAAACGATTTTGTACTGTCATACTAACAGTATTTGCTGAAGATAACTCTCGTGTGGGCCCAGTGGTCTTGTTCAAAGGAAAAGGTCAAGTGAGTGACAACGAGAAGATGCAATATGCATCTAAAGTCAAAGTATTCTTCACACCAAAAGCATTCAATAACCGATCGTAAGTTATTCACACAAGACACTTCTCTTCCTTATCAAAAATATGCTGTCCTCTTTTATACTTTCAGAACAATGGACAAGTATATTAGCTGGTGGTACTCAAAAGTGAACGATGGACAACCAAAGTTATTTATTACGGATTCATCGTCTACTCATTTAAATGAAGAAACAATTCGTCTCATGCGCAAACAACGAGTCGTTATTGCTGTAATTCCGAAAGGTTGTACTATGTACATCCAATCATTAGATGTTCATGTTTTTTCTACATTCAAACACCATCACTACGAATGTGCCGAAGAATGGATTGAAAAAAATGGTGGTCGATCGAAAATCAAACTAACTGCAGCACAATCGCGAATATTGTGCACTAGACTCGTTTCATCAGCCTGGTCTCGTACACTGAACAGTATTGATCCAATGGCATCATTTCTTGAACTAGGATACGTGTGGAATGATAACAGTTTGGTACGACCTCCAAGCATACCAGGCTATTGTTTTGACCCGACCAATGTCGACTATTCGACCAACAAAGATCGAAATATAGCTGATGATCAACGTATTGAAGAAGAAGCTTGTAAAGCCACAGAACAGCACAATCGAAATCTTGACAAGAATACAAAGCAAAAGACTCTACTCGATATGTGGAAAAAAAATTAGTCTCTAATATGAAAAGAAAAGAAATTGTCTTTAGTATGAAAAAAAAAATTGTATCTAGTATGAAAAAAATAAATAAAAATGAAACTTATTGAAACATAGGACATTCTAAATTTCAGACGTATTAGA